GGAATGACTAAGGAGCCAGATTAAAGGAAGTGTGGGACGTGGGGGAGGTGCTCTCAGCTGCCCTGAGCTATTTTCCACATTACTACTAATGGTGTTTTGCCCCAGGAGGCTCAGAGCACCGCTGCGAGGATCTCGGTGTCCCCCAGACCTCCCAGACCATCAGAAACGCCAAGGGTTGCAGCCGTCAGCTCAGGGGCAGAGCTTCCTGGCAGGTCCACACAATGACATGCGGGAGGAGAGGCCAGAGCAACGGGCTCCAGACCCAACCTGAAACACACAGAGCTGCTGGTCGGGGACTCCTGTATGGTTTGAGAGGTTCTAGAAAAGTCCCCCTGCGCCAATCAACATCGTCACTAGAGGAGTCGGGTCTGCTCTGACAACCAAAGTGCCTCAGGGCAAAAGATTCAGATTGGCTGGCGGGACACACACAGTGAAAACCACACAGGAAAATCCCACAGGCCCTTCCGATCTAGTTTAACTGAAGGCAGCCAAGATGGGCTGTTTTCGTGATGTCCCCTGTTGGATGCAGGTGAGCACATCCAGGTACGTCAATGCCACGTGCACCAGACCGCCCCTCTGACCTTCCATGGGCTAGTCAGCTTTATGACTTTGCCACAGGCCAACCTTAACAGATGCCCCATCCTGCAAGGCCTGACAGAATTATCACGCAGGCTCCAGGCAATGATTACACACTGATGGGCAGTCACTGCCCTGAGCTACTTGCTTTATCGTAAACCAAATCTCCAAATCTAGAGTCCCGGATGGTGAACCTGAGAAAACCAGCAACCATCACCACCACCTTGCAAGAAAAACACAGTCTCTAAGACGTCGATGAAGGTTCTAGGAAAACAATGTATGTTTACATATGTGCACCAGCAAAATGAATGGCTGAGCGGAGCACAGACTGGACATGTAAACATGTTTGTCAAATCTAAACTCCAGGCAAGTTCTGGATCTTCTGAAGATGAGGACTCTCTACATACGGTGTTACATCTTTTTTAAAGAGTCTTGCTTGGAGGATCGAGATGGATCCATGGGACCGGCCACCTGCCCCCCTTCTCTTCCCATTTGCTTGTGGAACCTCAAGGCGGTTGGCCCGCTGAAGCCCGTGTTACAAACAGATGTCACTATTGTTAAAACCAGGAAACTGAAGCAAGAAGCATAACCAAAGGGTCTGAGGTTCTGAAGAGCAGGCAATAACTTTCAACAGTATAATGCCTCCATTTATTGAGGATTTACTATGTGCCAAGCTGTGTGTATTATGTCTCCTAATTGTCACAAGAGTCCTGTCATGTATTATTTTACCTTTTTAATAATGAGGAGCCTGAACATCAGAGAGTAACATGCCCAATGCCACACGGCTAAGGAGCCAGGGTTTGATGATGTCTATAATTTACTTTAACATACTTAGCTTCAACAGTGGAATATAATGTACATAAGTTAGTGTTAATCTACACCCACACGTGATGAATCAACACCTGAGGTGCTGTCATGAAAAACGCATCCTCCAGGGATGGTAGGTTGGCTTTTAAAAAACCTGCATCACGGTTCACCCTGAGTATTTCAACTGCACAAGCTCAATCGCACTCCTGGTTTTATTAACGAGCCTAAGACACATTAGAAATAATTTTTCAATGGGATTGTTATGTGAGAGACAGATGATTGGTTAGAAATACCGTCCAGGCATCTCTGCCCTCTGGGCAGTCCAGAGCCCTCTGTGGGCCCATTCTTGGCCGAGGGCTCCCATTAAGCCTACGTTTCGTATTTCAGAAGACTTTGTCCTCTGATTCCATAGAAGGTGAGCTGAAACCAGCAAGTAAATATTCCTGTATCTGCTTCACATACACCCTCTTTCAAACAAGATTTTCAGAGTCACTGTTACAGAATAAATGTTTGTATCCCTGGCCCCAATTCGTATGTTGAAACTCTAACCCCACAAATGATAGTATTTGGCATGACCTTTGGAAGGTAATTAGGTCATGAGGATGAAGCCCTCCTGATTGGGATTAGTGTCTTTATAAGAAGAAAAACAGCCCTGGCCAGTTTGGCTCAGCTGTTAGAGTGTCGGCCCTCAGACCAAAGGTCTCAGGTTGGATTCCAGTCAAAGGCACGTACCTGGGTTGCAGGTTCGATTCCCAGCCCAGGTTGAGGTCATGTGAGAGGCAACCAATCCATGTCTCTCTCACATCAATGTCTCTCTCCCTCTCTCTCTCTCTCTCTCTCTCTCTGTCTCCCCCCCCCCTTTTCTCTCCCATGTAAGGATACAGCAAGGAGATGGTCATCTGTAAACCAAGAAAAGGGCCTACAGCAACACCCAACCATGCTGGCACCCTGATCACAAACTTCTAGTCTCCAGAACTGTGAGAAACAATTGTTTATTGTTTAAGCCACCTGTTTACTTTTTTTTTTGGTACATGCCCCTAGCGGGAACCGAACCCAGGACTCTCTGGTCCGCAGGCCAATGCTCTAACCGCTGAGCCAAACGGGCCAGGGCTAAGCCACCTGTTTAAACTGACTGAGACTCTCCCTAAATCAGGGCTTCCCAAACTTTCTCAATTCCCAGCACACACAGAAAGGATAGTATTTGCACTATACCCTGGGTCAGAGCAGGCTGGCATAGGGCCTCTGCCTGCCGCGTGCCCCACGTGTATACCCTCAAGGGTTGCAGGGACTCGCTATCTCGACAAAGCAACAAATCTTTCTCGGGCACTAGTAGGGACAGAAGACAGGGTCTGCACTGAGCGTCAAGGACGGGTTTTGTGTCTGCTCCCTCATAAAGATGGCAGGCCTGGCAGAATTGGATCTGACACTTGCTTTGTACGAAAAGCTGTGGAGGAGGGATTTCGCATCTTCCTGGAATCACTGGACAGAGCCCCCAGTGCATCTGATCACTGGGCATGGCCAGGTGCAATGCCAGGTCCGTCTACTTCCAAAGCCTATGCTGAGCCTCAGTGCTCCACGGCTGCTGGACCCAGAGAAGCTAATCAGTGGTTATTTGTCCAGCCCACGGGGAAGCTCTCCAGGGACGCCCATGCCCCAGGGCTAGGCCTCGGTGCTGTGCGGTTCCACATTCCTGTCAGTAACCTGAATGAAGACAGAGTCACACTCATCGAGTTCGCTGATGACAAATTCTAGAACTTGCGACGATCAGATGAAATGCCATGAGAGAAGTCATGTGGTACTTCCCGGAAGGCTTTCCCTACTGATGATAATGACACACCGCTCAAAACTCAGAGCAGGCTGGAACGGGGTCCAAACCGGGCCCCAGAACGAAATCTGATGTGAGAAACGCAAGTTCAAATTTTAGGTTTCAAAAACTATGAATGGACAAAGTCCCTGATGGCAACAGTTCACGTAAAACAGGCACCAAATGAGGGTGCGAGGAGTTGAGAGACCCAGCGGTTATGCACCAGCAGCGGGGTGAGGCTGCCCCCAGAGTTCTGGGGAGCCTGTGACCACCAACCCTGATGTAAGACGAATTCTGACACTGGGCGTTGCTGCCCCTACTTCCTGCAGACCCTGACCTTCTACAACGTCTGCCCCAATGTCAGACGTGAACGAGCAGCAACGAGCCATCGATCAATGTGGAAAGTAATTAAAAGAGAAAGAGGTCTCCATCATGTGCTAAGAGAACCGGGTTGTCCCCGTCCCCTGCGATGACGCCCAGCTTGCCAGCTCAACCCAGATGTGCGGCTCAGGGAGAAGAGGTGGAAGACGAGTGATAAAACCTGACGTCTAAGGTTGTCTTCACAGAAAACAGAAGGAGCGGGGAGCGGGGGAGGGGACAGAGAGCAGTCAGTCAACTACCCAGGGCGACTGCTTGAGCTCCTAAATAAAGATCTCTTTATGTCCTCGGATTTCACTTGGATGTTATCGTTTTTATTTTTTCACCTTTGTGAAACCTTAGAACCTTCTGGCCAAAGACAACAGGAAGTCAGCCAAGTGTAATGGCGTTTTCATTCTGGAAAGGGAGTCACCGCCGTCCCGACCTGCCTGGCAGACAGTACGGTGAGGCTGTGGTCAGGACTGAGACGCAGGGGCTCCATCACACTCCGCTGCCGAGCACTGCACGTCAGCGCGACCATCGGGGCGGGCCGCGTCCCACTTCCTGTGCGTGTGCAGGTGTCTCGGCAGGTGTGATGCTGTCTACAGTTAGACTGTTCTAGCACTCCTGCTTTTAAGCTCAGAAAACCAAGTTTAAGGTGGTGAGAGAGAAAAGAAAAGCAAACCACCTAATATTGGGTCCTAAGGGAATTCCAAATGTGTGTAAGACAGTTGCCTACTTTCGAGAAGCTCGTAAGTGGGAACCTAAGATGTAAATGCTAAAAACACGTCAATAAATCGTACGTTGCAAGAACAGCCTTGGCCGCCTGAATGTCCAGAGACTCTCTTGGTATACTACAAAAATACCCAGGCCTGGCTAATATCTGGAATGGGGACAAGGCCACTTGCAAAATTTGTTAATTGGCAACATTTTTTCCAGGCCTGAAGAATTTGAAAATATAAATTCTGGAATAAAAAAATGTCCTTCTTCCCAAACCACGTGTGCTGGGGAGACATTTTTAGAAGGCACTTTTCTCTGTCTGGAAACGAGACGTTCCTCAAGCCCTTTACTGGCGCCCCCCCGAACCCTCCAAATGTGGCATGTTCTAACCTGCACTGGTTAGAACGCTTCTAACCAAATTAAAGCAAGAGAACTCTTACATCTCAAATGCCAGATGCCAAGAAGATGCCATTTCACTCAATAATGGCAGCCATAAGTATAAATACAGCTTTGTAAACATATGTAATTAGTTTACTTGTAAGTATGTGTCAAGAAGCATTTGGTCTTGCTAGAATCTGGAGCTGGAAGACGGAATGAAGGAAATGGAATGACTGTAGCACCTTCTTCATAAAATCAGTTCTGAGTTCAGCAAAGCTCACTCTCTCCTTCCACCCGGGTGCCACCCGCAGCCAAGGTTTGCTGTCCAACCTGCCCCCAAGCACAATACAGTCAGCACCTGGAGCATCTGCGCCTTTCTTGGGTCTTCTCATCTGAGCATAAAACCTGACTCTCCTTTGAGGACCTCTGGGTAACCTGCAGTCAGCGGGAAGTCTCTCCAAGGACATAACAGAGCGATGTGACAGAAAAGTCGAGGCAGTGGAGAGTCCCTACCTCTGTCCCAGACTCCGAGGCAGCCTTTGAGAGGACTCGGGACCCCAGTCCCAGGCTTCCACCCCCAGAGAGAGCCATGGATGCACAGGCCCCGCCCAGGCCGGAGAGGGCTACTCTATTTTGGTCCTGACCACAGTTCACTGCGATTAGCTTCCTTCCTTTCGTAGGACCCTGGCCCATCCCTCTGCCCCCTACATAGGAAACAAGTTGCCACCAGATAAACGGGGGGAAACTGCTGAGCTCTCTGAGACCAAAGAGTAGCTGCGTAAATATATTCGGTACTGAGTGCAGCTGATAAAATGAACAAGGGCTCGGCACAGAGGCATGAAGGGGAGAGAACAGAAACCCTGTCCTCTCTGTGGGGATCTTGGAAGGTTGGAGCTCAGAAACACCCCCCTGCCCCCTGGTCCCTCTCCACGAGAGACCACAGCACAGGCCCTTTGCTGAGCAGCGCTGGGATCCCCAGAAGCAATCCAGGGAAGAAAGTAGACCCATTGTTTCACTTGAGAGTGCACTGCAATTTTGCAGCTAAAGACACTGTTTGGGGCTGCATTTCCAGAGTCCCCTCGTATAGAAGTCTGCTGTAAACTGCGCCCGGGCCAGCGGACACCAGGCACTGTCTGAGGACCTCCACCGCTGACACAGCGGCGACCTTCCACAGCAGCACTGGGGCACTGGGCTTGGCAGCGTCTGGGTAAACCTGAAGGAGTTGGGCATTCTCTCCACACTCTGCTCAGACCAAATGGCCTGTTTTCTAAAGTTGCCACACTCAGAGCTCAGAGCACCTACAAGGTTTGCCACCAGCCACACCTGCCACTAACAGGGGCTAATCAGTTACAAAGCTTCTCTGCAGAATGCAAAACATTTGACACGAATACCTTAACTCATTTATTTGTTTCCACATATTAGAAAGATAGACTTTGCCCAGCCAGTGTGGCTCAGTGGTTGAGCATCAACCCATGCACCAAGAGGTCGTGGGTTCTATTCCCAGTCAGGGCACATGCCCAGGTTGTGGGCCCAATCCTCAGTGGGGGGCATGCAGAAGGCAGCCCATTGATGTTCTCTCTCATCGATGTTTCTCTCTCTCTCTCTCTCTCCTTCTCCCTTTCTTCCTCTAAAAAAATCAATAAAGAAAAAATAAAACATAAAAAAGGTAGACTAAGCACTGTTTGAGCACCTACTAGGTACCAGGTTGCTGGTATTTTAATGCAAATACCTTCATGATAAATGTGCGGAGCAAAGGTAGGACAACAGAGAGTGGAATCTGGAACCTGGAGAGGGACTGTCCCCCCTAATGGCATTCAGATAACACAAATTTTTCTTCAATATTCTTCAGACCAAGCAAACCTTATCTAGAGGCCAGATCCTACATGGAGGCCTTTAATGTACAGGCTGGTTCCTACATGCAGACAATCAAGACATTATATCGAAAGGGCGAGGTCAAAATTTTAATCATCTCATGGAAATGGAGCTCATTTCACCAGACCATGCTGCTCATTGAAAATGGGGTGCACTCACCAAGAAAGGGAACACACTAATACCCAGAACAAAGGCCTGGTCCTTCTCCGTGGCTGAATTCTAGTCTCGCTCTGTAATGGTCTGTGCACAATTTAACTCCCATTGGAAAAGACTGAGGACGTCCTAAGGCAAGGTGAATGCCTGGATGTTTCCAGAGCAATCTCAGCAAATTGCTCGAGATAGTATGTTTAATTCAAAATGTGAACCGCTTGAAAAATGTAAAAATCTATATGTAGATTTTCTCACTTCTTTACTAAGCTTCTGCCAGATCCCAAAATGAACTCCTAAGTCTACAAATGGAACCAGAAGTAAACAGCATCGTAGCACGGAGACGAAGCTGCCAGGAACACAAGAGCCATACACCTGCTGGCCTCCTGGTCATCTCTACCTGAGAACCCCATCTGCACCCCGGTGCGCCACATGCAGAAGAACACATCCTGCCGCCACGCCCCTTCAGCCAGGTCTCGGTCATCTCTAACTAAGCGAATGGTACCGCCTTCCACCAGGTGTCCAGCGCGGGCCATATCCCGTACTCCCTACCACCTTCACACCATAGTCACCAGCTGTCAACCCTAACTCCCAGGTACCTCTCAAATCAGTCCCTTCTCCCCTCTGCCATTGCCGCTGACCAGCTTCCTCCCATGTCCCCCTGCGTTACTATAACAGCTTCACGCTGACTCTTGCTCCCTTGAGCCCCCTGCTGCTTTTCCTATGATGCAGATCTATCTGCTCTTGTCGATTCTCCTTCTCGGAAATCCCCAAGGCCTGCCAGACAAAACCCTTCGCTGGACGCTTGGCCCTGGTCCCGACCGAGCCACGACCTGCGTCTGCGTCTGGCCCCAAGTCCCACCTCACCAGCCTTGACCTACTGCAGGCTGGCCGAGTGCTGCGCTGGCACCTCCACGCCTTCTCCGTGCTGCGTCCTCCACGTGGCACCTCTTCCTCGTGCGTCCACGAGGCCAACTGCATCCCCCTGCACAGCTCTGGCCAACGCCCCCGCTCCTTCTCCAGGACCTCCTCAATGGCCCGCCTTCTGTACCTGGACGGGCACCGCGGACGTCTTCTCAGGTGCCTGTGCCTGCACAGGTCTCACCTCTCCCCACGCCGCGCTCACGTGACCTGTTCATGTGTGTGCAGCGGCCACATCGAGCTGTGGCTCGCCCCCTAATGGCAGGAACCAGTCCTTCACCTCACTACAACCAGACTCTTGCACAGTGCCTAGCACTCGGTAGGCACTTAATGAGTACGAACTACATTTACTAATTGGTTACCATTTTCTGTAACATTGAATCTCTCTAACTATAATATGTAACTACCTATGCATGGATCGAAGTAAAATGAGCATCGAGGGAAATAGTAACCCCTTTTCATCAGCAGTTCCCCCTTGGCCTCCTGCGACCACTGCCAGAATCGGGACTGCTCCTCCTGCCCAGGCCTGGACCCTGCACTGACCAGCCTCTCCCACAGCCTCCCGCTGTCCCGTGTGCCTTCTCCTCTCTGCCCGGTGCCCGCTGCTTTGATCACCTGCAGCTCCTCACCACCCCAGCAGGCGCGGGTCCAGGTACAATAGTTAGAGGCCTAAGCTGAGACGTCATTCTCTCTTTCTCGATTCTCCCTGACCTTGTGTGTCTTTCTTCTGAGGCTCACCTGCCCCTTTAATATGCAGGCCACATCCATCCTCACCTCCTGGGCTTCAGGTCCAGAACAGCGAGGGCTTATTTTGGCTTTAAAAAGAAAGAAAGAAAGAAAAATCGAGGCCTAGCCCAGAGAGGGAACAGGCTGAAAGATATTCAGCAGAGCTACCTAGGATTAGAAGCTGGGTCTCCCTATTCCCTGGCCAGTACATAATACTTCTTCAATTGCTGTGAAAATGGAAACCTCAGGATTATTTTGCAGGAGGAAAAAATAGGCCTCGAGAAGCTGTAGCCACACAAGCTCCACTCAGAGGGCACCGTAACTTACATGAATGATTTCCTATTACACCACGATTGTCACTGCAACACGACAGTCCTGCAGCCTCCTTGAAGTGTTCTCTTTGTTGTTTTTCTGTACAGATCTCCCAGAAAGAAGAATCAAATATGGTCCGAGCAGGAAAATAAACCACACAACCCCCGCAGACCCAAATGCCCCTTCTGCATGGCTCCTCCTGAGAAAAACCAAAGAGAATGCAATGAATAGTGCCCCCTGGGCCTGAGCCCTCTCCCACCTGCCCCGTTCCCAGAGCTCTGCTGTGTCCCTGCAAATAGGATTCCTTTTTAAAAAATAAAATGAAAGCCAACAGCTTATGAAGAAGAAATGAAGTGGCAATTTCCCAGCATGACTGGGAATCAATACAAGCTGTTGTCAGGGTTTTGCTTTCAAAGGGTGACTGCCACACTTCCCCAAAGTCAAGGGTGACGGAGCTCCAGCGCTCGACTTACAACTGCTTCATCATAGCAAGATCTTTTTAATTTAAAACTCACTGCAGTTGGGTTGGAACTCAGCTGGGACTTGATTTACTGCTAATTCATTTCTACGATTCCTATAATTCTAAACTCAGTCACCAAACAGTTTAATGCTGATAGAATCACCAGTGCGATGCTTTATGAATGGGTGCCAGGGGAATTTTGTCAGTAAGTGTGTGTTAGCAACTGTTCGTCACTTTGGAAAGGAGCACAGTGCTTGGTCAAAGCATGGCCAAGGCCCTGTAATGGGGTATGTGGGTTATCAGCCAAGGTCCCAGGTGATCCAAACCCGAATACCACTGGGCTGACACCCCACCCCCACCCAAACTCTCTCACTCATGCACACCATTACCTATGTAAGATGAATACTGGTCGGTGAAATGCTTCCCATGGGAAATTCCTAACTTTGCTCTCCGGGTCACTAACCAATGGTGAGTAACCATGGATTTATAAGTCTAATTAGAAACCTTCAGCCTCTCTAGGGTAGCAAAGTTTCTTTCCCGAGAGAAAATTTGTTCCAACTATCGAAAATTTAGGGAGCTGTGTCTTAATAACACAACCTGCTTTGTTAATTCAAAACATTTATCTTTGCCAGTCTTAGTGAAGCCTCGTATTCCATAAGTGTAGCTGGAAAAATATATTGAGATGGTGAATGTCATTACTCACGTATGTTGCAAACATCCACCTTGATCTATTACTTGCAACCAAAAAAGTGCTACTTTTTGGAAACATTTCCACAAACCTGTCAAAGCTGCAGTCACACTCGTTAAAATGATCCCTTTAGAAAGTATACAACTGAAGGCACCAGAGTCACCAAAGTCTCATAACAGTTCACAGCCATTTCTGAGATTCTCAAAAGCAAATGACTAGGGCGAGAGGCAGCCAGCTCCTCCTGTAGATTCGTTCTCCTGTTTTTCTCCTCCAAACTAAACTCAAACCCGAAAGCTTCGCACTGTAGGCTAGCATCTCCCAAAATGCTTGCTGTTGAACACCCGTTCCAGGTTTAAGTACACCCCCACAAAGGGATCCCATCACCAAATAAGCTGAAAAACGGTTGGCTAAGAATAAACAGGTTTGTCTTTAGCAGGACTC